ACTTACCCCCTCATAACCCAGAATCAGCCATAACCACAAGAAATCAAAAGAATTGCTACTATTTGGCATGTGAATGTCTCAACGTATCGATGAATATAAGTACTGATGAACAATAGCTTGTCACCTTCCTTGTAATGACTGTAGATAAACAATGTTGATAATTTTCATATCTGTTGATGGATTGCTTTCAGTTACTGCAAGTCTGCAACAAAGACTCAGTCAATTTTTACTGCTGTTATTTTTCTTATTTTTAGCCATTTTCTGTTTTCCAGTTAAAAAACACTACTAGTTAGTGATGTTAGTGGCTGGATTTTAGTAGTTGATAGTGGAACATGATTCCACGTAGTTGCTTGTTTTTAGGATTCACTAGATGAAATTTTCTGTATTTAAGTATTATTTCTGTTCAATAGAAGTGTGTGGACATTTTACAGCAATATCCCTTGTTGTTCTTGCCTTTATTTCTTTCTCAAAGTCAGTTTTACAGCATAAAACTCCAACAAAGTGGTATCAGAGCTCTCTTCTTGAGGGACCTATAACTGAGAGAAACATATTACATGGATTCAATTGAAACTCCTTTCACTGCACTAGCACCACCTGTCTTCAATGGAGAAGGCTATCACGTGTGGGCAGCAAGAATGGAGGCTCATCTGGAGGCAAATGATCTCTGGGAAGCTGTCGAGGACTACGAAGTTCCTCCATTGCTTGCGAATCCAACCATGGCGCAGATTAAGAATCAAAAGGAGAAGAAATCAAGGAAGTCAAAGGCGAGAGCTATGTTATTTGCTGCTGTCTCACCTGAAATCTTTGTCAGGATTATGACTATGAAGTCAGCTTTTGATGTCTGGAAGTTCCTAAAGAAAGAGTATGAAGGAGATGAGAGGATTCAAGGAATGCAGATTCTCAATTTGATCAGAGAATTTGAACTTCAGAAGATGAAGGATTCAGAGACTGTCAAAGAGTATTCTGACAAATTACTCAGCATCGCCAACAAAGTAAGGTTACTTGGCTCTGAATTTCCTGATTCTAGAATTGTTCAAAAGATTCTTGTAACAGTTCCTGAAAGGTTCGAAGCAACCATCTCTGCACTGGAGAACACTAAGGATTTGTCAAGGGTTAGCTTGGCAGAATTGTTGAATGCTTTGCAGGCACAAGAACAGAGAAGACTTTTGAGGTCTGAAGGGTCTGTTGAAGGTGCATTAGCTGCAAGAGCTCAGTTCAATCAAGGAGGAAAAGGGAAGAAGAATGAGAAGTACAAGAAGGGAAGCTCAGGTTCTGATTCTCCTAATACCAGTAAGGGAACAAAATTCGATTTTCCTCCTTGTAAACAATGTGGAAGGAAGGGTCATCCACCTTTCAAATGCTAGAGAAAGCCAGACCAGCAATGTGAGAAGTGCCAGAAGATGGGACATCATCACAGAATTTGCAAGAGAAACATTCAACAGAAGAATGTGACAAGCGAATTTGAAGCAGAAGAATGGTGCTCAAGTAGCTGATCAAGAAGAGGAGGAGCAACTCTTTGTAGCATCTTGTTTTGCTACTAGCAACTCGAGTGACAAGTGGCTTGTTGACAGTGGTTGCACAAACCACATGACATTTGACTGTGATCTATTTAAGGAGCTAGACACTTCTGTGGTATCCAAAGTGAGAATAGGCAATGGAGAATATATTGCAGTTAAGGAAAAAGGCACTGTGGCAATTGAAACTGCTTCAGGTACAAAACTTATCAGAGATGTTTTATTTGTACCTAACATTAGCCAAAATCTATTGAATGTTGGTCAATTGCTTGAGAAGGGTTTCAAAGTTATCTTTGAAACAAATCAGTGTCAAATCAAGGATTCAGAAGGCAAAGATGTATTCAAAGTGAAGATGAAGGGGAAGAGCTTTGCACTAGATCCATTGCAGGAGGAGCAAGCAGCTTACTCCTCAGTCGCTAGCATCACAGAAACTTGGCACAAAAGACTCGGCCATTTTCACCATGCTGCAGTACTGAACTTGCAGAGAAAAGAGCTTGTTGAAGGCCTGCCTCAGCTAGAGTTAGAACTACCAGGTTGCAAGGCCTGTCGATATGGCAAACAAGCAAGACTTCCATTCCAGAAATCTGTCTGGAGATCAACTGAGAAGCTGCAACTCATCCACACTGATCTTGCTGGACCTCAGAGAATTCCTTCACTTAAGGGGAGTAAATATTACATAATCTTTATTGATGACTTCACTCGTATGTGCCTGATTTATTTTCTCAGATTTAAATCAGAAGTTGCGGGCGTTTTTTGGAGATTTAAGCAGTGGATCAAGAATCAAAGTGGTTGTACCATTCAAATGTTGAGGTCAGATAATGGCAAAGAGTATACTTCAGATCAATTCAATCAGTTTTGTGAGGAAGTTGGCATTGAGCATCAGTTAACAGCCCCATACACTCCACAACAAAATGGAGTCAGTGAAAGAAAGAACAGAACAATCTTTGAGATGGCAAGATGCATGATGCATGATAAAAAATTTCCTAAGGAGTACTGGGCAGAAGCAACAAACACGGCAGTGTTCTTGTTGAACAGGCTTCCTACTAAAGCCGAGAAGCAACAAACACGGCAGTGTTCTTGTTGAACAGGCTTCCTACTAAAGCCGTTAATGGGAAGACTCCTTTTGAGGCATGGTATGGGTTCAAACCTAATTTGAAAAATCTAAAATTTTTTGGATGTTTGTGCTTTACTTATGTGCAACAGATCAAGAGAGATAAGCTTGACAAAAAGGCAGTGGCAGGGATTTTTGTGGGTTACAATACCGTCTCTAAAGCTTATAGAATTTTCCAACCTCACACAAGGAAAGGTTACAATACCGTCTCTAAAGCTTATAGAATTTTCCAACCTCACACAAGGAAAATTCTTATAAGTAGAGATGTGCATTTTATGGAAAATGAAGAATGGTCTTATAAGTAGAGATGTGCATTTTATGGAAAATGAAGAATGGAACTGGAAAGGAAAGCAATCAACTTCGGTTTCAAACCAGACTTCAAAATTCCATTTGAAAGAAGATGAATTGGTGGATGAAGTTCCTGTAAGAGGAATGAGATCACTTTCTGATATTTATCAAAGGTGTAATGTTGCTGTTCTTGAACCAGCAGACTTCTGGGAAGCAGAGAAAGATCCAAAATGGATAGCTGCAATGAAGGAGGAGCTGGGCATGATTGAGAAAAATCAGACCTGGCAACTTGTGAAGAGGCCTGCAGATAGGAAAGTGATATGAGTAAAATGGGTGTTCAGAACAAAATTGAATGCAGATGGCTCAATCAACAAGTACAAAGCTAGGCTTGTTGTGAAAGGGTATGCTCAAATTTTTTGTGTTGATTTTTCTGATACATTTGCTCCTGTTGCTCGACTTGATACAATCAGATTATTACTTGCTATTGCTACACAAAAAGACTGGAAAGTTTACCAGTTAGATGTAAAGTCTGTATTCTTAAATGGTTTTCTTGAGGAGGAGATATACGTTGAGCAGCCTGATGGATTTAGAGTCAAAGGGCATGAAGATGATGTATATTTGCTCAAGAAAGCATTGTATGGCCTGAAGCAGGCACCTAGAGTCTGGTACAGCAGAATTGATGAGCATTTGATGCAACTGAGTTTCAGAAAAAGCCTCAATGAAGCTACACTCTACATTAAAGGTGACGAAGTGAATTTTGTTATTGTCTCATTCTACGTTGATGACTTGCTGGTGACAGGAAGTAATGTTGAGCTTGTTAACAAGTTCAAGGAAGACATGAAACATACCTTTGAAATGACAGATTTGGGAGAGATGGCTTATTTTCTTGGAATGGAGATTCAGCAGAAAAGAGGTGAAGTCTTTGTTTGCCGGAAGAAGTATGCAAAGGAGATCTTAAAAAAAATCAGAATGGAGGATTGCAAGAGCATGCCTACTCCAAATGTGTCAAAAGGAGAAGTTGAGCAAACATGATAAAGTTGAAAGAATTGATGAAACTTTTTACAGAAGCCTGGTTGGTTGCCTCATGTATCTTACAGCAACAAGGCCTGATATTTTGCATGCTGTAAGTTTGCTATCCAGGTTCACTAATTGTGCAACTGAAACTCATCTTGAGCAGCAAAAAGAGTGATTAGATATGTCAAGGGAACATTGGATTTTGGAGTAAAGTTCCATGCAAGTCAGATTTGTGTTCTACAGGGATATTCTGACAGTGATCATGCTGGCTCTTCTGATGATATGAAGAGCACTTCTGGTTATTGCTTTAATCTTGGTTCTGGTATTTTTTTCATGGTGTTCCAAAAAACAGGAGATTGTTGCACAATCAACTGCTGAAGCAGAATTTATTGCAGCAACAGCTGCTGCAAATCAGGCTTTATGGCTTAGAAAGTTGATGGTTGATCTAAATTTGAAGCAAGAAAAGTCCACAGATGTATTTGTGGATAATCAAGCAGCAACTGCAATCTCAACTAATCCTGTTTTTCACGGGAAAACGAAGTATTTCAACATTAAGTTGTTCTTTCTTAGAGATCTGCAGAAAGAAGGTTCTGTTGTTCTGAAGTACTGCAAAACTGATCTTCAGCTAGCAGACATTTTCACAAAACCTTTGCCAAGAAGCAAATTTGAGTTTCTTAGAGAAAAGCTTGGAGTTTGCAGCAACTAAGCAAGGAGGAGTGTTGATGGATTGCTTTCAGTTACTGCAACAAAGACTCGGTCAATTTTTACTGCTGTTATTTTCCTTATTTTTAGCCATTTTCTGTTTTCCAGTTAAAAAACACTACCAGTTAGTGATGTTAGTGACTGGATTTTAGTTGTTGTTGATAGTGGAACATGATTCCACGTAGTTGCTTGTTTTTAGGATTCACTAGATGAAATTTTCTGTATTTAAGTATTATTTCTGTTCAATAGAAGTGTGTGGACATTTTACAGCAATATCCCTTGTTGTTCTTGCCTTTATTTCTTTCTCAAAGTCAGTTTTACAGCATAAAACTCCAACAATATCTTTCCAAGACTATAAGTTATTGCATTCAGTACAGTGCCAGATTTATGTGGGAGGGTAATTCAGCAGTGTTGATCATCTTCCTTCTTTCTGTCTCCAACTTGATTTAGTTTATTGTGTGAAAGATATGAGTTTTTTTTTAATTTTAATTTTAATGTGTGTTTGCATGTGTAAAATAATTAAGACATTAAAATTTCTCCCTTATGCTGGGTAAAATTATCTTTTTGTACTTTAAGGGTAGTTCACTAGCGTTGATTGCCTTTTTATATTTCAGATTAAGGTTTTCAAATTTACTTCGCATCAGATTTAAGTTTTCCAATTTAATATATGCATGCATTCATGTGTATGCGTGAAACACTGAAGTGTCAAATAAAGTTCTCATATAGGATTGGTCTGTGGTGCAAAATTGGATGGTGGCACCCATACGTCATCAGGACTGCATGACGCAACCCAACCATTGGGTTACACAGAAGCCCCTTGCCATGTTTAATGCCTCCAGTTCAAATACTTTTACGTCCGGAAAACCTATTCACATTAGTATGCAAACCTTGCACATTAACTATAATCCAGTCAAAACAATGTCTCCTACTCCTAGTGACCACAGACAACATCCTTGTTCAACAGTGGAACTGCAATGTACCAAGGGCTCACAGTCAGGGTGAATCATCTGAACTCTTGAGGCACTATAGTATTGTGCATAATGTTACCAGGGCATTCTATTTTTAGAAAAATAAATTGTAACAAACAGTCACTCAGCATCTATGTCCGAGTCAAACATTTCTCATGTAATTAAGAGAGAAAAATAGGGTACGTTTTTTACTTAAAAAAATAAAGGATTTGAAATAAAGGAAGAGTAGAGGTGTTATGTTATTTCAATGGTCATCCAAACTTAATCCATGTTTTTCTAAAACTATGTCAATTTCATGAGGTAGGTAAACAAGTGTGTTAAATATAACATGCTTCTCGAAGAATGGAACAAACAAGTTATGTGTGGTCAGCGTATATGCCTGTGTGTGTAAAAATATATGCTTTCGTATGCCCTCTGTTTAGAAGCTCCCTGTCAAATACTCTGGCACGGAAGTTACTATAAAGCAGGAAGATACACCGCCAAAGGCCAAGGAGAAAAGAATCGATACAGCAGTGAACTGTGAACAAGTGAGTATATTGCAAATTTCTTAGCGTACATCGAAGCTAAGAAACCTAAGATTTTTGTATGTTGATCTGCAAAGAGGTAAGAAATACAAAGAGGACATATACCAATACCATAGTAAATAACCTGCTTGGCTGATAGTCCCAGAACAAAGTAGCATAAATCAACTATTCAGTATTTAAATTATTCAGCCACATATGAAGATTTCTTGGTATTTGTGGTAGAATTCCTAAACCAATACAAGAAGAGATTACGACTAGTACATGAAAGGGACTTCCAAATTAAAATGACATGCGACTTCTTCCCTGTTTCAAGTCTAACTTGCTGGGATATCCACCAAAAACAATTGGTCACCAGAAGCTAAATCTAGGAATATAAAGGTGAATGAAGATAACAGAAGATAGTGACAAAAAGTTAAATCGCAATAACGGCACTAGTCAAGGAAATATTTATTTCGGCACTAGTCAAGGAAATATTTATTTTGTAACATTTTACTTGCATGAAACCTAAAATGCAAAATTTATCTAAGTGATAAAAATGGGTTTTCTTGCAGAGTGTTCTGGAACATTCTTCTTCTTGTATCACTGATTAGAATGCAATTACCTGCTAATCATAATCTCACCCCCTCTCCTTAGAATCTCTCCTGCTCTAGGAGAATTTTGAAAAGTTTCGACCTAGTAACATAAGCATATACTACAGCACGAAGATGCCGCTCACTAGCCTCATAGGATTTAATGAAAGACACCATCTTGACCGTAGCTTATTTAGACAGTAATCTGGAACCAAATTACAGGATTGGTGACATATTGAAAGCAGGCTGCAATCAATTCTTTTCTGAGCCTTGTGGTCCATTGCCAAAATGGGAAATGACTTGCATAATGAATTCTTTTCAGATTACTTTAAATGAAAAGAAGTGACCAGAATTTTAAAACTTCAAAAACTGCATGCTCAAACCATACATAAACTAAGTACTTTAAATTTAACTCAACCTTGAACAACTCAGAGAAAAATGAAAATGGAAAAGAACCTCATGCAGCACTTACTTCTTTAATATACCCTTTAGAAATGGGAATGTCTTATGCAATTGATCCAGTTGAGAAAGCCCTTGAACGAACGTGACTGGGATTAAAAACAACAACAAAAAAACAATGCTACCAAAAAGAGTGGCTATTCGGCGAAACCAAAGTTGTCTGAATGGTATCCTAAGATTTGACCAATAAACATCATGGGGTTCGGGAGCCAAGTCAGTGACCCAAGACATGGGGTTTGATGATTGAAGAACTTCTGAAGCAATAACTGCAGCATAACGAGTCTTGAAAAAGACAAAAGCAGCAGCACATTCCTGTTTAAGAAAAAAAATATATCACAAAGCAGGAAGATGGATGATGATAAAGATAACATCTTGCGTCATGTTCAGGATACTCCCTCACCTAATGACATGTGAAAGTGAAATAAAAAAAAACATTTCCAACAAGTAATACACATGTAAACAGATGACAGCCTAGTTTTAGTATGTGAAAAAGCAGGCAGAAAGGAAGAACAGAAAGGCAAAACACCAGAAGAGTCCACAAAAAAATAATTCCTTTAAACTCGAACCTGTAACATGCATACTTCTCAGAGGTGTACCTTAGCATCCATCCTGTTTAACATGCAAGGTTTTAAATATCGGTTATCGAGGATTTATCGGACGGCCAAAATCCTTATCAGATAGCGGAAATCGGGAATATATCGGGGATAAGTAGTATTTATCGGAGTGATATATTGGATGGTGTATATATATAATATAATAACTAAAAAAATGTAATCTAACCATGCTTAATGAAATATAAACATACCAAAATGTAAATCATCATGTTTAGAATCACTAACTAATTGTAGAAAGCGGGTTGGGTCGAGTTTAAAAACTCAACAATCCAACTCAAAATGCCAGGCCGATAATCCCGATAAAAAAGCCTTACTTATCGGCCAATAAGTGCCGATAACGCCGATAACTCGCCGATAAACTCTCCAAAACGATAACCGATTAGAAAACCAACTTATCCTAGCGGAGAGCTCTTAAATCCGATAACTCGGCCAATAATATCGATTATCGGCCGATATTTAAAACAATGTTAACATGACAAAAATGTAAACAAATTTCCAACACATATCTTGTCACCTTCAGAGAAAACACATCAGAGTACGTGTGTCTGTGTGTGTATAAGTGGTCTTTTGCCAGAAATACTATCAAAATTGATATCTTTATCAACTTTTTATGCTTTCAGGTTCCCCAGATACACAAACACACACACTCAATTATAGACTACACAAGATACCTTAACCAGGGACAGCTTTCATCTGCAGATTCAGTACCAGTACATCTCGCATCCTGAATTGAATTAAAAATCTCTGATACAGCCAATATATAGCCAATATATCATTTTATAATGCTTGCCGCAAAATGATGTGGTCTAAATATTTTTTTTACTGTTTTTAGTAATTTTTGTGCGATATATCCCTAATATATTAGCTGATATGTTGGTCGACATGTCCTTTTATATGGCTTGGCACAAGGCAACATAGTTTTGCAAAAATTCTTTAATATTTTAAGCAAAATTTTTAGCTTAGGAAGTTCTTTAGCAAAATTTCTATAAGCTCATTTCCCTAAGTAAATTTCTATAATGGTTAGTAATATCCTTAATATATATTATTTACAATATAATACAATTTTGAATGCTTAGATTTTATTAAGTATATTTAGATTATATTTTATGGCACTATATTATATATGCACATCATCTGATATAACGCTCCGATATTTAATACATATCCCCGACATTTTCCCGATATATGCAATCCGATATGGATTTTGCCATCCGATATTTCTCTAATAATCGATATTTAAAACCATAACCTTTTGTGCTTGGACTCTCTCAGGAACTTGCGTAAAGTGCTTCCTCTCATCATCCTGAAAATGGACACATTATCTTAGCCTATGTTTTATAAAGCCTATATGGCTTTTTGGCCTCTCATGGATCCACATTTCACGCAATCTAAATTCAAATTAACCAGCTTATCAATTAGTTTGTTGGAGTTTGGCCTAGAATCCTCAATCCTATTTGGATAAGGTTTTGTTAAGAGAGTATTTGAGTAGATAGAGTATTTGAGTAGGATTTTTTTGCCAATGGAAACTCTATTTGAATAGAGATTTAGGAATCTACATGAATCTAGCCCTATTTAAGGAGTTGAATTCTCTGGCCTAGGGCATGAGAAAAATTGAGAGAAAGATAGTATCTTAAGAGTCCGAGACCATTGCTCTCGTCTATATGAGTTGCAATCTTTCTTTTGATTTAGTAAAAGTTTACCGGCTGCTGCCCATAGATATAGAACTTTCTCCAAACCACATAAATCATTGTTTTTGTGTTTGTGGTCTTTTATATGTTCTATTTTGGTTATTGTTTGTAATCTTAATTTACATCAAACAACGTAGAATTCTATTTCGCAAGGCGATGCATCACACAAAGGGAATGCTTAATCACATACTATAGAAATGTTTATGGCCCCGTTCCTGTTCCGTCGAAGTTGAAGCTCAATATTCTATCATTGATCAATGATTATTCAAAGATGGTCTTGATTTATGTGCTAATTGAGATGTGTTCAAATCATTCAAATAGTCAAAGGCTCTAATTTAGAAGCAAACAGAGATGAAAGTAAAGCGTCACTACACTGACAACAACATGGAGTTTAGTTCAAAAGAGTTTGAGGAGTTCTGTAAGAATGAAGGTATCGCATGATCCCAACTGTCAGAGATGTTGGGAATAACTTTGTATTTCATAGAATCTTAGCTAGACTTAGATTTCGGATTGAATTTGATTGGAAAGAATCAATTGCAATTGGAATTGAATTCTAATTAGAAAGAATTAGAATTAGTAATCCAAGTAAAAAAGGAGTCCTACACAAATACAAAGGAGGGGGGAAACTCTATAAATACCCCTTGAGAGGTTCATTGTAAATGAAGCCACGGAAAATTCAAGGAGAGTTGTATATTGTAAGGGAGAAGTAGAGATAACTAAGGGGGGAAATTTAGGATTTGTGAGAGATTTTTTGGTAAGATCAACAGAGATTTTTTTGTGGGGTCTATCTAAATCACAAGAATAAATTATCTTGTAATAATATTTAAAGTAAAAGAAGACTCAATTTTCTCCCAATTGACGTAAGCGATTGCCGAACCACATAAATTTTATATTTTGTCTCTTGATCTTTTTTTTATGGTATATTGCCTTCTCTTTTGTTCGGACTGGTAGTTTCTCGGGATTTCCACATTGCCCAGTGATCAATTGGTCTATATAGAAAAATGAGATCTAATCAAGGTGTTTGGTGATACTTTCACATAGGTCGTCGGTTGGTGCACAACGACAAGTATCAGATTGCAAAAATAGAGTTGAAGATAGGATGAACAAAACACTGTTGGAGAAAGCTTGGTGCATGCTTTCCAATTCAGGGTTATTAAAGAATTTCTAGGTTGAAGCAATTAGTACGGTAGCTTACTTAATAGGTTGATCCTTGGCTACAGCTATAGGTTGCAAAACTCCGTTAGAGGTATGGTTAGGTAAACCATACCTCTGTTAAAGGTATAGTTAGGATTATTCTAATCTAGGAATATTCAGGTGCCCTACGTATTATCATATTAGTGAAGGAAAGCAATAGAGAAGGGCAAATAATCGAGTATTTCTTACATATGGAGATGGGGTCAAAAAGCATAGAATCTGGATAGCTGAGTCAAAGTTGATACACATCAGAGATGTAACATTCGATGAGAGTTCTATGCTTAATCCAAGAAAGGAATCTGAAACTCGTGCATTAGAGACAGATGCTAGCAGAGAAGTGGAGTTTTCTACGGCTCCAGTTAGTCAAAAAATTGGATTGATTCAACAAGAGATCTAATAAAAAAATCATAATATGCAACAAGCCCAAGAGGTTCAAGAAGTCTCGGATGATTAGGTAGAGCAACAGCAGAGTAGTAACAAGAGCTAGAAAGTATTGCCTCTAGCCGAGTCAAAAGACAAATTCGACCTCCTTAGAGATATGGCTATGAAGGCATAATATTTTACTAGCTTATACACTGTCAGTTAGAAAAGAGACGGATAATCTATATCTCGCTAGTTAAAAATAAATTATTGCATGTCCAAAATCTGAAAGATGGGTTGTTGCTATGGGAGGAGATGGAGTTATATAACAAGAATTAGACATGGAAGCTAGTCAAGCCACAGCAGTGAAGGAAGATTGTTGGATGAAAGTGGTTCTTGAAGAAGTTAGGAAACTCAAGCACTGCTGGTAGCGGATTACAATGAGATATTCTCTCCAGTCGTTGACACAATCTATTCGGGTTTCACTTGCTTTGGTAGCATATCAAGATTTGGAACTCGAGCAATTAGATATGAAGACGGTTCTCCTCCATGGTGAGCTAGAGGAGATCTTTATGAACCACCCCAAGAGTATAACAGTTCTAGAAAAAGAAGACTGTGTGCAAGTTGATAAAATCTTTATACAGATTGAAGCGATCTCCTAAGCATTGGTATAAGAGATTTAACAGTTTAATAGTAAAACAAGAGTATAATAGAAATCTATTTGATAGTTGTGTTTCTCACAAGATATTCAAGGATGGCTCATTGGTTTATTTACTCCCATATGAAAATGACATGCTCATTACATCTCAAGACATGATGGCTATCAGAGAGTTGAAAGTGCAACTCAGTAAAGATTTTGATAAGGAAGACCTCGAAGTAGTGTACAAGGTATTAGGGATGGAGATACACATGGATCGAAATCAGAGAAAGTTCTTTCTATCACAAAAGAGATACATTTTGAAGATACTAGAAAGATTCAATATGTCAACGAAGGCGGAACACCCCCTTAGCAATGCATTTTTGTCTTCTTCTGATTTGACACCAAAGACAGAAACCGAGCCTTAGTTCTTTTTTAAGAGTCCAGTATGCGTGTGGTGAGTAGTCTGACATAGTCTATGGTGTGCACTCGCCTGGACATCGCGCATGCTATTAGTGTGGTGAGCTAATTTATGTTAAGACTGAGAAAGAGCATTGGGAAGCGTGAAATAGGTATTATGTCGGTTTAGTTTATGGAGGAGTTGATACAAAGTTAAATGTGACCGATATTATGTTGATTCGGATTATGCAGGAAATCTGGATGGATGGAAGTCAGTGACGGGCCATGCTTTCACGCTTGGAGGTTCTATCCTTAGTTGGAATGCAACATTACAGTCCCCAATCGCGCTATCTACTATTGAAGTGGAGTACATGATAATGATAGAAGTGGTGAAGGAAGACACTTGGTTAAAAGGTTTAG